CGCCAATAGCGGGATCTCCTGTGCCGCCTGGGATGCTGAAGAAGTGTAAGGAAAATGGAGTGAGACTATGAGGTGCAATGTGCAGGTGAAGCGATGGGACAGGGAGTGTATTTTGAGTGTTGAGAAGGTGCAGTAGGAGAACAGGGAAGAAGTGGACAATGGACTCTGGCTCTCTTGCTTACTTAAGGTCCAGCATGTATTTGAGAGGTGCTGCTGCAGTGGATGGTTCTGGTAGCACTCATCAAGCAAAGTTACAAAATCCTAAACTAGTTACACCTGAGCTTTTGTCACTTGCAAGCAAGGTCATCAAATTTTCACGCCCACCTGGCAAAACAAGTCCCATTTGCATGATAGACACCATCCACAGATAATGTCCTACTTGACCTCTAACAAATTCTTAAACTTGCACTTCCCAGCAGTCTGTATTTTTAAAAGCTGTTTTGGCCACATGTCAGCATAGCATGGCTGTTGCTTGATTTAACAAGAGTTAATTAAGCTGATATCACATTGATGAGTGTATGATGAGAAACATACATATCGGGGAAAGTGTATGACTGCATTGTATATCAACTTTGTTCTTCTGTTTACTGGTTAAAACAAATGTTTGGCCTTTGATAGCCTTCTTTCTGTTACCATTTTCCTGATGTTTTTCTTTTTTCTTTAATTTCTCTCTTTTCCTGTGCTTAAAATAGTTGTGTGTGTTTGCATGGTTGGTTTGAAAGCCTTTGATATCAATACTGTGTTCTTGCTGTCTGCACTGAGTAATGACAGTCAGCCAAAATGCACGTGTGGCTGACCATGGCCATTGCTTTTCATGCGTCTGGATGTCTTGCATCTATATTTTGCAGAAATGTCCAGTTCTATTTGAAGATTTCTTATTACTTCTATTTCTGTAACTCTTGCTCTAGAGCATGTAAAAGTTATGGATGTCTTTTAATTGTATCCCAAGGCCTTTGACTCTGGTTTAGAGAATTTTCCACCTTATGTTGCTTCAGTCACCTTGTAGATAAGTGTTACCAAAATTTATAGCAGAAGGTAGCATATTTGGTGAGAGAACTTACTATGACCCAAAGGCATAACTTTGCTTATTATTGCGATGGTTTGAGTGCAGGAGGCCAAAGTACTTGCGGGGGAGATACAAGTCATCTCCTGCAGTTCTGGCTGCCCTCTCTCAGCATAACCATAGCTGAAAACCAGGTGCTGCAGCACTGTGTGATGCCGCTGCCTCCCTCTGTGGTGTGCCAGTCTCATGCCAACTAAAAGGAGAAGATTGGAAGTCAGGAGCTGTGTCCTTACATGACACTGGTAGTCAAACAGGGATGGGAACAAAATCCAGGTTGCTGACAACACGTTTAATGTTTTAGGCATCCGTTTTTCCGTCATGGGTTTCAGAAGCATCATGGCAAGAGCTTTTAAAGTACATAAAATAGAGTGATGGTATTTGTCCCTCCCTAGTAAACTTCATTAGTGCCTTTGTCTCGTCAGAATGCTGGATATAATTCAAACCTCGAAGTCCAGGATATGAGGTAAGGGCCAGCAGAGATATTCATCTAATCTTAATTCTGCCCAAGGAACTGATTATAGCTGTTGGAGCAGTTCAGTAACATGAGTACAATAAAAAGCGGGTATGAAAAACTGAGAAAATACATTTTTGTTTGGATTTTCATCTTTCGTTGTATACGCTCCAGCTTCGAGTAGCTGGGAAACAGGTTAGGAAAGCAAAGCACAGCTGTTAGCTCACAGCAAGTGCCGCCTCTGAGGAAGCACGTGTACCTGTTTAAGGATGGAATTTGTTCGGTCGCGTTGCTAATGGCCAACAAGGTTTTCTCCTCACGTGCAGTGCCGGTGATGTGATGTGATGCAACGTGACAGTCGCTAGTTTGTGGGCGCAATGAGATGTGATGGAGTGAAGGAATCCTCTGCTCAGAGGTGGAGGGTTTGTAACATTTAGTGTGTCTGAGAACATTTTAAAATGTACAGCAGGAACATTTGCTGTAGCTCGTTTGCTTTAGATGACTAACCCAAAATTGGATGTGGCTCATGGTGGCTGTGCTTTCTTCCTAGGGGTGTTGTACTGGTTGTAACATGGAAATAAAATGTTCTCAAAGGAGGTTTCAGCTGCACTTTGGTGCTTGTATTACCTTAACCTCTTATTTCCAATTTAAGTTGTGAGGATTTTGCTACCCTTCATATTTCTAAAGGATGTTTCTCTGCTTGTAAGGTCTTCAGTTACTTTGTAGATTAGTTACATTTAATAAATATTTTTCAGTATTGTCATGCAACAGATTTTCTTCTTTTTTTAGGGCAGAGAAGGCATGTGTCTAGCATCCTAGTGGTATGACCTTCCCCTGGGATACAGGAGATCCAGATTTTAGTTCCCTTGACCTGGAAGACAAGAACAGGCATACTGAGTCAAATTAGGGTTCATTTTGTATTCATGTACTTTCTGTCTTGGACAGGGCCAGTACTAGGTGCACAAGGTACAGACAGCTCAGGAATAGCATAGTACTTCGGTCTTTTCAGCTTTTTGTTGTCTACCTCTTTATGTTTAGTAATGCTTGATGTACTTCTCTTACATAAGTTCATCTAATGGGAGATCAATCTGTCATGTCTCAGAAGGTAGACTCAATCCCTTTGATAAAATAAAAAGGGAAATATTTATGCGAGGCTGCAGCTGGTGATGTTCAGAGGCTATCCCAGGCTAGCTTGGCAGCAGCATACACCTCTTTAGACCTCAGATCCGATCTCCATTGTTTTCTTGGGCATGGGGACTGGAAGTTAGTGGTATACCTAACAGAGAGCGTGATGGGTGGTTTCTTTAAGCACTGGTGTGACTTCGGGAGAGGATTCATAGTTGACAAGTCTGAAAAAACATAGATAACTTTCTTAAGCATGAAGGAGATCCAAGACTGCCTTTGCTGACCACCATTTATCTCAGTATTTTCTGTGGAGCTTGTTCAAAGGAGTGTTGTAGGGAGAGGTGAATCCCAATGAGATCCTGGAAGTTGCAGCCTCAGTCTCTCTATAGGTTTAGTTGTCAGTTGTTTATTTTCCATTCATCATATTTGGTGCCATTTTCTCAGAGGGAGGTGAAGATTGTGCAGAGTAACAGAGCCTTTCCCACATAGTAAACATTTCCAACTTTTTTCTTGTTGGTGCTGATGGATCAGCTGGCCTTCTAATGTAAAGTTTGACTTCCCATGGGAACTTCAGAGTGCATTGACCCAACTTCCCAGATGAGTCCATTCACTGCCCTCAGGATGTCTGCTGAAATGCCTGGCCTAAGGCCTGAACCTAGGTGCCTGGGACAGCCTCAGATTCAACATGCAAGCACAACATTGTCTTGCTGACCTGAAGTAGCTGTCTTATGACTGCCTGCAGATTGTATAGCATCAGATACCTAGCTGTATATGATCGCTTCTTTTTTAATGCTTTGCATTGCTCAGCACACTAGAATTAAACCCTTAATAATGTTTTCATTATTGCTTTCCCAGTGGGACACAGCGTGTCAGCAAATTGCAAAGTAAGCTGAGCCAGTAAAGGAGTTTTGGAATACTTGCAGTCTTCTTTTTGGAGAAGAGAGTCTCGAGCTCCCTGGGATTTGCTGGGTTTGGGAAGCACTTGCTACTGTTAGTGAAAAGCCTTTCCTCCCCTGCAATGTTCTGCTCTCTTCCTTTTGTCACACAGCCTTCCTCCACTATCTCTACAAAAAGGCTTTCATGCAATCTGGCATGTCAGCTGTTGCCTTTGTGCATTGTGTTGGATCCGGGATAAAGCGTAAGCTCTTCAGCCCTGGCGCTTTATAGTGTGGCATGAATGCTGATGGTGCTCTGGTTGAGAAAAAAGCAACTGAGCAAACTATTACAATTAACAATAACTAAGCAGATTCGGGAACTGAGCGTTCCTACAAGTAGCTGCAATTTAAAAGGCTTTCCTTTTCTTTCCCCTTTTAAAGCTGTTCACCTTGGTATTTTCATTATGGAAAACTGCATTGTTAGGAAACAGACTTGTGTGTAGATCTCAGTGTTACAAGATTTATCTTCAGAAAGCCAATTAGTGCTTGAAGTAGAAGCTAATCTACTTCACAAGTGTAATTTACATCCCTTGTCTTACAAAGAGCAGCGAGCAACCACACTGCACAACACCATCTTAAGAAAGAGCAAGTACTGGTCTGTTTCTGTACGTCTTTTCTGTATGTTTCTGCTTCTAGAGGCTTTTTTCACTAACCTAATGTGTGTCAGTGTGAACACTCTGTGGATACAGGACCATCGGCTGCCACAGAGCTCCTCCAGCGAGGCAGCGTAATCAGCCCTAGGGTGAGTTCTTAAACAGGGGAGGTGACAGACTGTAGAAAAGGAGCAAAGATGTGCAGTCTTTGAAAAGAGGAATGCGACTCTACCTTCTGGAGGGGAGCAATTCTATTTCACACTGTAAGCATAAATAGAAAGCAGTTCTTTTAGACGTTGTGAGCCGTAAGTTGAGCATCCATCCTGACTTCCCTTAGAAATCAAACTCACACGGACCCTCTAAAGTACAGAACAAAAAAAAACCCCAACTGTGCTATAATCAAGCACCAGGCTGCTGACAGAACCTCCCTGGTGCAGATCAGTACTAAGACCTCAATCCGTCCTCTTGAGAAATACGTTTTGTGCGTTAGTTTGCTTGTTTTTTACCCAAAACCCTGTTTTAGGCATGAATTAGCAAGACAGTGTTGGCACTGTGAGTGTGACATGTCCTCCATCTTTGCAATTCTATTTTCAAACACTTTTTAGAACTGACTACAGGTATCGGTGTGGGCACTAAGCATCTTTACTTGTGGCAGCCAACGTATCTCATTTTGAGGAGGGCCAAAAGCTGCAGCTAAGGCACCAGGTGATGTAAAAATTAAGATTCCCCAGCTCTGGCTGTAATCAGCGTGCTGTCAGGTTGTATCAGCCTTTGGAAGCAGAGGGGAGGAGAAAATAGAAAATCGCGTGCGGGCGGGTCGAACACCGAAGTCGATGCACGGATTGACCTCTGCGTGTTTGTTCTTCATCGACAGGTTGATGACGCCTGGGAGTGAAATTCGATTTGTCCATAAGCACATGGGTCTGGTGCCAGGCTGGGGAGGAGCCGCCCGGCTGGTGCAGATCGTCGGCGGCGGGGCTGCCCTCCGGCTGCTGAGCGGGGCAGCCGGGTTGGACCCCGAGAGAGCTTTGCACCTTGGGCTCTCGGAGGAGACGTTGTCATCGTCTGATGAATCCGGAGCGTTAGAAGAAGCCCGAGCCTGGCTGAGTCAGTACACAGAGGGTCCAGCCAGTGTGATTCGGGCTGTGAAAAAGGTGGTGACAGCAGGAAGAGAGCTACCACTGGAAGCTGCCCTAAGGACAGAGAAGGACATTTTTGGAACTGTATGGGGTGGGCCTGCCAATTTGCAGGCATTGATTAGAAGACCAAAACATAAATGACAGTCAATGCGTAAGAAACATTCTTGACTTTTTTTGCAAGCAAAGTTTTCGCTAAAACAGGCATTAAACTGAATCATTGAAGGATTTACTCATTTAAACTGGGATTAACATTCCTGTCATTCACATCAGGCAGACGTATTTGGTGTGCAACCACAGAGAAATCCCTGGCAGATTCTTTACTGTCCTAATCACTCACTGAATGGAGATTAGTGAAATTAGTATGTAAAGGTAAATACTGTGCTGAGAATAGAACTATAATTCTTTTGGAATGAGGCTGAACATTTTCTTTGGGGTTAATTTTGGTTTTCTAAATGGTATGGAAATGAATTGCTTGAAAGATACGAGGTTTATTTATTTGCAGAACAGGTGCATCTAAAGCTCCCTAACATGAGACCAGTGTCTTTAAGCAGCTTTGAAGGGAAGATAAATGGTGAGGTGATAGGTTTTATTTTTTCATCTTCAGTCAGTTCTTTGTATAATTGCTGAGAAAGTATCCAAGGATACTTCAATTTTAATGGTGATTTTTACAGGGGCTGTAACTCACCAAGGAGCTTATAGCCCTCATTCACTGACGCTGGTTCAGGTTTCTAAATAAATGCATTTAAGGTGTCTTCTCACTGCTCAAGGAACCAACTACCTACATACAAGTCTGCACGGCCCCATTGCCTGGACCTGTGCTGCTGAGCACATGCAAAGCTGCTGACCCGATTCTTTACATAGAATCTAGTTGAAATCTTCAAAGGCCGTGATGTGTCATGCTCCAAAATGGGATGTCCTTGACGGACTAAGCGGTCTGAGTACTTCATCATTCTGGAAAGACTTCTCTGTGTATCTATCTCTGTCTTCAGAGTATTTTTACTGGCAGAGCGTATTTGGGCTGACCAGAAGATTTGGAACTCAGTCTCCAATTCATGCCGGTGACTGTGCAAGTAATTAGATAAGTCGGTGGGGAGGGATTTCCCTTTAGAATTAGAAACTGACACCGAGTCCCTGCTTTGGCAAATGAATCTTAAAAAGAAACATCTGTGAGAGCAAAAACATGCAGATATATCCATGACTGAGAGTTTGCTGTGCTGTTGATTGGGATGCACTTGTCTGTAAATCCAGGAGGAGCTGAGATCTGAGCAGAGGATGGACCCGTGTTAAGGAGCCACTGACATGCGTTCTCGATCTGACCAGGCCTAACTAACTCTACGTACATGGTACAGGATCCCTTAGGAAAAGGATGTGATTCCTTGGATGGAAATCCATGTTATGATTTCTACAGCGTGTCAGGATTCCTGAGTTTTACATGGCAAGGTAACTGTGCATGTTTGAGGATCTTGGGACAGATCAATGAAGGGAATTAGGCCTGGAATTGCCTGTTAAGATTCTGCAGCTTTCGAGCAGATGCTGTGCTCTGCTGGGGATGTTTTACTGTATGGCTTTCGCTGCGGGGAGCATGTATAGCCTGAAGCAACCAAAAGAAATGCTAAAGAAAGGGATGTGTTTTGAGCTGGCACTTCAGGGAGGACGGAACTTACTCTGCCCTGTTGATCCTGCCTGTTGCCTTCACACCTGAAACAGCTGCTGGAGAAAGATTTGAAATCTCCCTTTGCAAAAATATAGTTTGAGTTTTACTTCCAGGTTAGAGACAGGAATGGGAACATAGGGAGAGGGCAGTGGTCTGTCTTGTGCTTCTGCCTTCCCCCCTTTTTTATCCAATAGCTCAGTTGTTAGTCCCTGGTGCTGCTGGATTCTTTCCTGTACTCTAAAGGACTTCAAACCCATGAGTTCTGAAAGTACAGGTGTTTTAATATAGTCAGGTAGTACTTGATTGCTTAGTAATGAAGCTGTTCTGCTTTTCATGAAGTTCCTCAAGACTCGTGACGGATTCCAGACCGCCAACATCACTGAACCTTCAGAGCACGCTCCAGTCCATATTCATCCAATGTTTTGAAGCAATAGTACATTGTCGTGAGGCAAAAAAATTGTGCTTTAAAGAACAACTGGTTATGTCTTTGCTACTAACAAGAACAAATTTGCCATAACTAATATTGTAACAATGTTTTTTTAAATGGATGTGAAAATTGCTTAGCACCTGAGCAAGACCCTTGAATCATTTTTTATTTTTCAGGTGCTGACTGTAAGGCTTATTAGTGCATCCTGTGCACCAGGTGATATGAATTTGAAAGGGGGGAAGTTGTAGTAGAAAAGCAGAATCTGTTTTACTCGCACATTTTGAACTAGACCTGTGCTCCCAGTAAGTGAAACTCGGTATGTACACCTACTGGGGACCTCCTTCCGTTTTGATTTGTAGACAACGAGCTTACTTCTCATTTCAGCAAGTGCAGTTTCCTAGCCATCCTCTCTGATTTGTATCAAAGGCCAACGTTTGCTTCTAAGAACAGGACAAATAATTAACTAGTACTGAGTAAGACACTTTCAGAAAAGGTCAGAGAGACTCGTTTTGTCCTCTGGTCTGTTGGAATCACACGTATATCAAACACAGCTACAGGAGATTCTGAAGAGAATTACAGGTGTTTTGATCAAGGATTTTGTGAGCAGCCTAATATCATAGTCCCCAGTTTCTTTTTGGTTTTAAAAGCGAGTACAGCCCTTCATAGGAAAAGCAGCCTAACTAAATTATGATGAGTGCTAACACAAGAACTCCAGACTGAGTGAGATGAAATGCAATCCTACTTTACCAATTTCAAACCTAAATGCTTTTTTCATAGAATGCTTGCTTATCATCTTGAAGTGACAAATACCTGTAACCAGTAGCCGAGAAGCATTTATATTTTCTTTACAATTATTAAAGACTACAAGCTTCATCTCTGTTTTTATTCCCCTTCAGAAATGGCCTAAAACCAAACAAGCACTAAATGCACAAAACAAATTAGAAACCTCAAAATTGATACTCCCAGTCTCCTAGTTAAATGGCATGCTAGCTTTTTTTATTTCCTAGGGGCTAGTTTGCCAGCTCCCTCCTCAGCAAACAGGGTTTCCTATTACATTGTGGAATGCCTGTCTTGTTCCCTTGCTTCTGTGTACTGGGACAGCCCGAGTGCTTAATGGGAGTGTGGATTCTGTGCCAAGCGTTTAAAGGTTGGATACTGGAGATCACTTTCAGCAATGCAGATACTTTTATCATATTTGCTGCTGACAGAAATACACTTACCAAATGGGCGATCTAGGTAAGCCAGGTGTTCTTGCTGAATGCTTGGTTCACTATGTGATTTTTTTTTTACTGTGGGGTAGGATTCCTGTATCTGAGATTATCTGTTCTCCAGGAAATGAAGAGATGCAGTAGATTTTATGGCATTTTAATTTCCTTTTTCCTTTCCATTCTGCTCCACTGTGCATTTCTCTAGCTATGCTGTACAAGTTGTAGCTCCATACATTAAGCAATTTACAGAGAACCACATAATGCAGTGTGGCTGTGGCTTAGCTAAAACTGACAGAACACATCTCCTACTGAAGGTAATGGTTTAAATATAAGATGGGAATTACCAGTTACTACTTTTTCCTAGCTTGATCTGGGGAGTGCATTTGCCACTCTAATGATTGGCTATTAAGCTCTCACCAGCCTTACTTTAACTAATTTTAGTACTTCACAGCTGCAGTCAGCCAGCAGGAGCCAAAAGCAGCATTGTGGGTGTTTGGCTGAACACAGGTCTGCCTCTCTACTTTGGTCAAGAACCCCCAAAGATAATAGCTGATGAAATTATTTGTAGACTGTTTGGGCTGAAAATCCAGAAATTAAGTATATAGCGAGTCAAGTTCTTGTATTTTGCTTCTTGCTTTCTTCAATAGTACATACCCTCACATGAAATAAAACGCACGCATGTAGAAGTGTTCTTACTGAAGGCTTTTGCAGCACAAAATCGGAGTTCAATTACAGCCACTGTGTGCTAACTCAAAACTGAGAAATAAGTGGGCAACTAAGAAATAGAAGAAAAAACATTCCATCCGTTTCCATCTAAGTCCGTGTTACTAACTTCTATTTCCTTACGGAACTGGAAGATGATTGTAAAAATCTGTGACCAAGAGCATCCATTTCTAGCTGAGAAAGAAGGAAATCTTCCTTATTCCATCCTAGTCTCCTCTGCACTTTGTTCACTGACCCACTGATCTCACCTGTGAGCAGAGTAAACAAACTGGAAGGCTGGCACAGCTTTGCCCAAGATTAGGCACATCAGCCATCATTACAGTAAGGAGAACATTTTAGAATTTTTTAAGTCTACCATTTTTAAAAATCAGCCCTTTTACTTCCCTTCAAATAGTTGGTTGCCTACAGCAACTTTTGTCTGAAGACATGTAGTACCTACGTATCAGCTACCGTCTCTTTCTATTCAGGGATATGCGTACTAAGAATTGGAGTTTAATTAGCTTAATTTTAAAGACTGAGTCCAGAATCAACTACTTCTCAATTTGAAAAAATGTAAACCAGCCACAGACAGACAAGCTGTGCTTTTCAAGATCTGGCTTACAACCTTCTCTGCTACACAGAAGTCGGTTTGTAGCAATCTAGGCCATTTCCAATACACCCACAAACCCCCCCTTTTCTGTGCTGCCACGAGCTTTGCTATGCAGAACAGAAAAACAGCCATATAGTCCTTAACATCCGTGTTCTTTGTTACAGGGTCAAGTTTGATAACTCACGCTTTTTTATTTCGACATTTCTGCTGTTAAAATAAGGCTGTGTGTGATACTTCTGCCCGCCCGTGAAGCAGACTGGTCAGCTCTTCAGACGAGAAGTGAGCGTTAAGCCTGCAACTCCTGATTTTTTGGTAAAAAGACGCACTCTTACAGTGATGTGTTTGAGAGAGAGCCAGTCAGAGATGCAATAACCTCCAGATACTGCTCAGAGCCAGTCCTCCCTTTTGGCAAACAGAGGAAGCTGGTTTATGATAGTGTTCTTTAAAGTTCCTCCAGTGAAGTTCAATTAAACTGGAGACATATCTAAGATTGTTACTGATAAAATGTAGTTTTATTAAATTATAAATTCCGTAACAAAA